CTGCGGCATACTAAATTTGGAGAAAATATTTTGCTTTAGAAATGTTGTGAAAGTCTTGCCTTCATTATTGGGAAGCACAACTGCCTCAACCCATTTGGACACATATCAACAGCAACAAGTATGTACTTCATCCCATTGGAGATCGCAAATGGACCTATGAATTTGATGCACCACACGTCAAATAGTTCAATTACTAAGATGGGTATTGGGAGGGGGGGGGGGAGTTTATGTTACCTTTAAATACCTCCTTCTCTTTGACAAAGTTCACAAGATTTGGTGAAATCATGAACATCTTAGTGGATCATCGACAAATAATACCCACAATAAAGATTTTATGGGCGGCCCGGATCCCACTATGATGTCCTCCGACTGGAGAGGAATGACATGACCCTAATATGTTCATCATCTCTACCTCAGGTATGCAACTGTGATTAACCCCATTAGCACAGACATAAAACAATGGCTCCTCCCAGAAAAACTTTCTCACATCTAACATAAACTTTCAACGCTGGTGGAAAAACAAATAAGAATGTACCACATCACTCACCAAATAGTTTGCGAAGTTGGCGAACCACATAATCAAATCATGGGACGCAACCAATACTTCCTCATCCGAAAAAGTGTCATCTAACTCAGTTCCATCTACTAACTTCAACATTGTTTCTTCCTCCAACTTGAACAAGTGATCGGCTACCTGAGAAAATCAAACTCTTGCACTAACAACACTCATTAAATCAGTCTTGTCTTAGGATCTTTCTTTGATATCAGGTACTGAATTGTTGCATGGTCAGTGTGTGAGTTTCGTTCCAAGCAAGTAGGACTTAAATTTCTCGAATGTAAAGACTAATGCAAGAAATTCTTGTTCAGTAATTGTATAATTCCTTTGAGCTACGTTTAAAGCTTTGATGTCATAATATATGGGGTGTAGAATCTTCCCACGCCTCTGCCCTAAGATTATGTGAAGTGCCACTCTACTAGCATCATGCATAACCTCAAATGGTTGGGACCAATATGGTATAATAATAATAATAGGCATATAGATCAACTTCTCCTTCAATCCTCGAACTCTTTCAGACAAGCCTCGTCAAAAACAAATTTGATCTTTTTTTCTAATAATTTGACAACACCCTATTTCTACGGAAGCAAGAATATGACCTACTAATAATAATACAAGTATATGTTGATGATATTATCTTTGAGGAACAAATGACAAACTATGTGTAAACTGTGCAAGATTGACGAGTAGCGAATTCAAAAAGAGCATGATGGGTGCTCAACTTCTTTCTTAGACTACAACTCAAACAGTTTTCCCTAGGATTGTCCATTCATAAACAAAAGTCCATCAAAGAGCTACTTAGAAGGTTTGATACGGAAGGTGCTAAGGTGAGTGATACTTGAATTGCTACAACTACCAAATTGGAAAAAGATGAACTAGGTCACCCGTGGGTGATACAAAATATAAAGGAATGATTGTCTCACTATATCTCATTGTCACCAGACCTGATATAGTATACAGTGTAGGACTATCACTACAAAAAAAAAACTTTTAGCGGCAATAAATAGACACATTAATAAAGAGTGCTAAAGTCTTTACCGGCATTAGTTAAGTGTCATTAGATCCAATGTCGCTAAAGCCTTTAGGGACATATACAAAGAGTGCTAATTGCCGCTAAAAATACATATTTAGCGGCAATTGCTAATTAATTGCCGCTAAAGAACATTTTTGATATAATGCATGTGCTAGATTTCAATCTTATCCCAAAGAGTCTCATATGAAAGCGATCAAAAGAATCATTAGATACCTCAAAAGAGCTCAGAGCTGGTTCTCTGGTATCCTTTTATGGATTCATTCTATCTAGTAGGTTTTGTTGATGCTGACTATGCAGGATATCTCATTGATAGAAAAAGTACCTCAGGTATGCCTCATTTTCTTAAATTGTGTCTCATATCATGGACAACTATAAAATAGAACTTGTAGCCCTATCTATTGCTGAAGCAGAATATATAGAAGCCACATCTTGTTTTGCACAAATTTTATAGATCAAGCAACAACTCCTCAACTTTGGAGTAGTTCTATAATATATACTGATCATTTGTGATAACACAAGTGCAGTCAACATGACATAGAACATGTACATCATAAAAGGACCAAGAACATTGATATGCATTACCATTTTCTCAGAGATAATGTCAAAAAAAGTCCTATATTCATGAAATCTTGCCAAACGAAGGAACAAGTAGCTGACATCTTCACTAAGGGTCTGGGAGAGAGTAGTTTCAAAACAATCAACTTGCACTTGAGCTTGTCAACTAGCTTTCTTAATGAAATTCTTTCTTTTGGCTAGAATATTAAGTCTATTTGTTTGCATAAACTGGATGGGGGATAAAATATTGAGTGAGCTCTGTACTGTAACAAGTACACACCCACAACTCTTTAGTGGATTGAATCAAGGTCCACAACTCTTGAGTGTACTAAATCAAGGTCTAATGATATTACCCTTACTTTCTCATACAATAATCAGTGAGATATCTCCATTAAGCATCACAGAGAACCTGGTTGTTTAATTTGCAAACCAAGAGATTCAGGTTACAATGTTTGTTAATGTCATAAATACATGAAATATAGGGAGAATTAAAATGGTGGGGGCCTGATTCAAACTAAATCTCTTTTGTGATTTCTTTGGGGAAGGAATATAATGTGAGTTAAAAAAAAGTGTTAGGTGGAAGAATCTTCCAACGACAAAGCCTCCAAGGGAAAAAAGAAAATTTAATCAAGACCTCAATTTATGAACTATGGGGAAAATAAGGACAAACTACTTTTTTAATAAATAAAGATTCTTTTATAAAATATATATATATATAATAATTAATGTATAAACTTTATTGGTCATTATTATCTGTTTGTTCGCCACCTATTAGTAGAGCCGTCAAAACGGGCCAGCCCAGCCCTACCCCGCCCAAGCCTCGCGGGCCAAAGAATTTGATGGGTTGGGGAGGGCCAGCCCTTCATTTCAAAGGGCTGTAAAATGGTCAACCCGGCCCAACCCCAGAAGAGTCAAGGGCTGGGGCGGGCCAGCCCTTTTTTTTTTATGTCAAATCAATGTCACAAACAGTAACATTGTTTCAATAATTCTAAATAAAAAATCTAGGAATAAATATTTAAAGAAAAAAAAAATCTCTTAAGTAAATAATATCTGAAAAACAAACTAGTAAACTAAATAACACTTCTGACTAAAACTTTAGTTAGCAATACATAATTACTTAAAGTATTTTGTTAAATGAAATCAAGAAAATTGTTACATGCGTGAAAATTGTCCAATGTCGTAGCAGAAACGGGACGACAATAAAACTATAAGAGTAAAGAGACAGAGAATTGTAGTTCAAGAATTTAGATATTAGGGTTTAGGGACTTAAGTTTTTAAGAGTAATGGCTTTAGAATTTATAAGGCTTTAGCCTTTTAAATCTTCAGGTACTAGTAGTCTAGTAGTACTAATCTACTATAGCCGTATAAGTTAGAGGTTACATTTAAGTTTTCTAGTTTTTAATATTTATTTTAATTAAAATTATATAATTTGGCCCATGGGCCAACCCCGGCCCAGCCTCGATCAAGCCTCAAGGGCTAAGGGCCTAAAAGGATTGGGCTTATAATCTCCGGTTTTAAACGGGCTTGAAAAATCATATCACAACCCTGCCTCAATAACGGGTTGGATCGGGCTGGCCCCATGGGCTCAGCCCTTTTTGATGGCTCTACCTATTAGTAGTTGATATTTTCTCCTTAGATTGTAAAATCCTCTATATAAGAATTTATTTTATTAAAAGTAGACAGGTTTTAGAATTCCTCTCACGCTAGTACTCTCTTCCTTCTTTGTAATTTTTTTTTAAAGTAAATCTAAAGTTTGTTCAAGTAGTTATGACTACTCTCATAAGGTACATTAATATTTTAATTGATGTATCCATTTTTTTAAATTTTAAATATTATTGTGCCCAAATGATAGGCTAAACATTTTTGGGTTGAACTATGACACACAATTTTTTTAACTTTAAAATTTTCATTTTTAATAATATATGATATGTCATATATAGGAGTGACAAATGAGCGAGTCGAGCTGAATATGAGTCAATCGAAAACGAGCTAAATAAAAATGGATAAGCACTCGACTCGACTCACATTTTAAATGAGTAAAAACAAGTTACCCAATGGATAATATGGGTACTCATTTTATAGTAGAGATCTAGTTAAAAGCATAAAAACCAAAATCTTTTTTAAATTTTTTCATCACCCCACCCTCCCTACCAGCCCCCCTACCCCCCTTATCCCAAAAAAATGTAAAAATAATAATAATACTTTTTTATTAAAAAAATAATAGTTTATAAGTATATTTCCTTATGGAAGCAAGTGATAATGCGTTGCTCCACACCCAAAAAAAATTAATTTTTCTTTATAAAAAAAACATTTAAAAAAATAATTACCACCCTACCCCCTATCCCAAAAAAATGTAAAAAAAAAAATTTATAGAAAAAAATAGTAATATTTTTAAAATGCTTTTTTTACGACTCACCCCTAATCACTTTTCTTTCTTTCATGAATGAACATTTTTTACCCATATTATCCATTTAACTACCCACTTTTAAATGGTTAAATATGAATATTTTTTTGTTTTTACTCATTTTAAAATGAGTTGGGTACCCAACCCATTTAAAATGGGTAAATATGAGTGAATACCCATATAAATTACCCATTCTGCCACCTCTAGCCATATATGATAATTGATATAGATTGTTGCTCTTAAAAAATTAAGGGTATGTTTGTCATATCACACAATTCTTGACATTTTCTTTGTTGATGTCAAATAATGCCGGTAAAATGAGCTCATATTTTGGTAACCCGTCGAATCCATCCATATTTTAATGGGTTGGGTGAATGATTTTTTGTATGGGTAAATTATGAGTTGATACCCATATTCAATCCATAAAAATATGTGTAAAATATGAGTAAACTATGGGTAAAATATGGAATAACCAAATGCGTTAAGCTTCCAACTTTTATTTACTCAAAATTCATGATATCACTGAAAATGTTGTGACTTTTCTTCCTTTTTATTTTCTTCTATAAAACTAATTATTCTTCTCCATAATTGAAAATGTGAAATCTTTGGTCCTCCAAAAAATATATATTTTAAATGTACATTTCTTTTGTTAATTATAATTATATTTTTTATTTGTTTAATTTTATATTGGATAACAAATATTAGTGTAAAATAAGCAAATCATATATTAGTATTGATATTGCTTAAAGTGCATTAAGCATGTTTTAGTCCAAAAATGCAAATATTCATTTACTTTGAATTTTTTTTTTTTTTCCCCTTGTTATTACATAAATTTATTTTATATTGAAAAATTATAAAACAAAATTTTTGACTTTTATGATACAAGTAAACTAAATAAACTATTTTCAATATTTTTCAACCAAAGAAATACTAAAATATTTTCTCCACGTTGAATTCTTGAGTAGAGTATAAATATAAGTAAACTTGTATTTTACCAAACTCATTTGTCACCCAATCCATTTTTACCCATATCAATTATGAATGGATTAAATTATTACTCATTTTATATTGACATATTTCAACCCATCCAAAATTGACCCAACCTGCCCATTTACCCATTAATGTCAAACTATTTTTCATGGGAGAAATGTCAATTTCTCCAACTCATTAGTGGAACGAACGGGTCAGTATCCGAAAAAGCAAACTGGTTTGGAAAAGGAAAAATTACAAACAACTTTTAAAGTTCTCAAGTTTCCCGTCTCCCGCGTTTCTCATCGATTCCACAATTCACTCACGCACGACGACGAGATTAACTCTCAGGTTTCACTGATACTCTCAGATTTTGTTCACTCGAGTTCTCTCACCGGCTCTCGGGACTCAGAAGCTCACCATTTCACTGTCAGAACTCCGCTCAGGAGCTCAGAAGTAAGTCTCAAATTCTTAATTTCACGATTTCACTGCGACGTTTGGGTTTGATTTATGAGAAAACTCTCGTGAATTTCAACCTAAGTTGACGATTTCCTCATTTGTTACTGGGCTCAATTATTTTTATGGTTTGAAATTTCTGAATTTCAAGTTGAAATTTTCAACGTAGTTACTTGGTTTGGGGCTTTTGGTTTAGTTCCTAGAACTTAGAAGGTTCAGCACTGCACTCACTGGCTCACATTTTACTCTCTTCTCAGAAGCTCAGTAGTCCGCTTAGTCGCTCACTGCCTCGATTTCACTCTCAGAAGCTCACGATTTCTCTCTCAGAATCAGAACTCTTCTCAGGTGCTCACGATTTCTCATTCTCTGCTACTGGTAAGTCTAAATTACACTTTTAATTTCACAATTTCACTGTGACGTTTTGATTTCATTTATGAGAAAACTACAGTTGAATTGGCATATAATTTGGCTTTCCCCTTTTTTTTTGTGTGGGAAATCATTTACTTGATTAAGTAGTTATTATTTTGTTGACTTGAGTATAACTATCAGTACTATGTTTGGACTTAATTTTCTGTTTGTGCTAGAAAATTTTCAAGTTGTGTGACATGGTGACAGCTTAATATACAAATTGTGATGCTACAGTGGTGCAGCTTGTAGTGCTGCTGTTTTATTTAGTTATTTTGATATGATATTTGTGTTGAGCTGCTTGTGGTGCAACTTGTAGCCTTGTTGTGTTGTTACTGTTGTTAGGAACTTGATAAATTAGGAAGCATACAAGGCTTGTAGTGTTATTGTGTTGTTACTGTTGTAGCTGCTGATTAGCCTGATTGAATGGCTATAATCTATATCGTAGTGTTGTTGTGTTGCTCCCTTTCTTTTCCTCTGGTCCTTATATAATTATCTCTTCCCCATTTAGTGGATGTTGCAAGGAAGATTTCTTCCACGATGTTACAATGGATGGGTGGGTCAAGGAGGAAAGTTGATACTGTAAGTGTCAAATTACTTATTAATCTGGAGATTTACTTGCATATTTCTGAATTTGGAGGCTGGAAGCACAATTGAGCAAATTTGAAATTAGGTAGAACTACAGCTCATTAGTGTGGTTTGTTAGTTGATCTCTAGTAATGCATGTCTCTCATGATGGTAATGGATTTTAATGTAAAGTTGTGGTTAATACAGTCCAAATGTAATGCATGTCTTTTGAGTCTTGAGATGGTAATGGATTTTAATGTATATTGTGGTTAATACTGTTCAAATGAGGAGTTACATAAAAGTATATTAAAAGATGAAGATCACCCTTTAGAGATTAGGAGCTCAAGCATATTCCTAGAGGAAATGAAAATATTCTTAATCCATGTAGTCCTAGCCTAAATCTTCTTTTGAAAAAAGCTAACCTCCCACACTTTCTCTATGCGAGTTTAATTTTGTACAAACCAGTTTGCAGGTTTGTTGTGATAACATTCAGCTTACTCCACCCCCCAAAATTAAATATAAAAAAGGCAATAAGAAATAGAACATTCATCTTCTGTTGAAGGCTATCAACTTGTTCTTGTGGAAGTTTAATTTGTTCCCATTGTTTTTAAAGATTTAATCTTATTGTGCTTTGGGAAATGTTTTCATACTGACATTTTCTCTTGTGATTTGTATTATCCTTTTGCGGGATGGAAAAACATCAGTCAAGAAGGTCAACACAGAAAAGGTATTAAAATATCACCCATCAGTCTTTATTTGATTGGATAATTGTTGTAGCTTTACTCAACGTGAACATAGGTCATCATTCTTTGATACTGTTGTCCTAACTTCCAATATGTAGAGATTTAGACTAAGGGAATCTTAGTAGCTTAGTTGGTTGGCTATTTGAACTCCCACCTTGTTGGTGAGGATTCAATTCCCCATATTGTAATCCCCTCTCCCATTTCCCCTTTCCCAGCCCCAATTTAAAATTAAAAAAATAAGATTCAGGGCTCATTTGTATATGTGATACGAAATCATGATTTGAAATCAGATTGATTTGAAGTTGAAGTTTTGTTTGGACATGTAATTTGGATTTTTTAAGTCGTATTTTTTTCTCATAAACATGAAAAACCTCACAAGTTATGAAAACTATCAAAATTTCCGCAATTCTTATACAATTTTACCAAATGAACAAATTATAGTGTATAAATAAGATATCAGAATATCCGAAGGCACTGCATTGATAAATCACATATCTCCATGTTCCTTTTATAAACAATATTTGCGATTATAAACTTCCAAGAACACCTAATTTTTTAAAGATTCACTAGTCAACTAGTAACTAGTTATTTTTTGATATAATCCTTTCTCATGGCACCAGGCATGAGTCTTTTCCATATTTAAAATGATGAGTATATTTTTTTTACAAAATATAAACTTATGGGTCAAAAAGTTTCCTATTTTTTTAAAGAAAACTTATGGGTCAAGATTTACATTTAAAAAAATTTGAAATCATGATTTGGAATCCCAAATCATGCTATATGGAGAATTTGGGATATGATATTGTATGTCCAAGTGTAGGCTAAGATGTAGTTTGTCTATCTTACAGGCAAAAGCAATACTTTGAGCAAAGAAAATGGCAAGAGCAGCAGAAAAAAAATGCAAGAGAGAGCTTCTTTGATGAGAAAAGCCCATGTAATCAGCAAGAAAAGAATAGTCGTTCACTTGATATTCTGAGTTTACTAAACGTATCAACAGGTTCTGGGGAACACAAGTCAAATGTCCACTCAGGTACTTTGACTTCAATTTTTGAACTCTCCAAAATTTTAAGCATATATAATTATTTGCTCTTTGGGGCAATCGACAATAGCATTTGGTGCTTGTTCATGTTTCTTAGTATGACCTATCTCAGAGATATTATAATCACACAATCCCATCATTAGGTTACTGGTGAAGTGATGTTCAAAAGATTTGTTTGTTTTCATATTGCAACTCCGTACAACTCAAGGTGATGAATCCTAATTATGTGAAATTTGAAAAGATATATATACACACACACATACACAATAATGTATACTTTTCTTGGATTTTTGGCTAAGATCAAGTATATGTCCACCCTACTCTTATTAATTGTCTCTTAAGTTGCATAATGGTGCAAAATTGGTCTGTGATAAGTACAATTGTATAGTCCTTTACAGAAATAATGTGCTATTATTAATGAATGAAAAAATGTATGTCCAGTTGGTGAATATATCAATGGCATGTAGGACTGTTTCCTGTCATACTTATTAAGTATCTCATTTTGCCCACCCCACCCCGCAAAGAAAAAACACTACTTAAAAGGTTTTTTGGAAGGACATAATGGTGCTTTTCCTGCAGCCCGTCAATTAGTTAACCGTCAACATATTTTAGTTAATGGTAATATAGTGGATTGGTTATAGTAGGTATGAAGAGAGGTAGGTAGACCTAAGAAGTATTGGGGATAGGTGATTAGACAGGACATGATCTAATTTCAGGTTACCAAGGACATGATCTAATTTCAGGTTACCGAGGACATGATCTTAGATAAGAAGGTGTGGAGGACACACATTAGTGTAGAAGGTTAGTAGGTAGTGGAGTGTTGTCTTGCTTTCCGAGAGTTTAGGCTGCTTGGTGTTTTTGTCGTTGTACTAGCTGTTTATTGAAGTTCTTGATTGGGATATCTATCATCATCTATTGTTTATTGTGTTTCGATTATCACTACTATTTTATTGTTCTTGGTCCTTTCGTGTAGGATTTGCACTGCCCCTTTGTTAGTTGCTATGTTTTTTCCACTATTTTCTTTTTTCTTGTACTTGGATTTGCTGTACTTGAGCCGAGGGTGTTTTGGAAATAGCCTCTCTACATCCACGAGGTAGTGGTAAGGTCAGCGTAAGCTCTACCCTCCCCTACCCCACTTTTGGGATTTCTCTAGGTATGTTGTTGTTGACATCTGATAAAATTGGAACAATACAGACATATTATGTCAGAGATCTTACTTGTCAAATAAGTTTGTATCTCAACCTGCTCAGCCTTAGGAAGTAAAATCCTTGAAATTTGTGAAAACCAAAATGAATGATGTGCATTTTCACTTTCTTTAGATCTCAAGAGAACTTTTGAACTGCAGTTGCAAACATTATGCAGCTTCATTAGCACTTATGTCCCAGTGCAATGATTTCCTATCAGGTGCTGTTAGGATTCATCTTTGACAAATTTCTTTACTGTCATTTCCAAGTCTTCAATGATATGACAACCTAATATACATTGTTTATCAATTATAAATTTCAATATGGAATTGACACAAAGTTTCATTATACAATGTGACCGTATTAAAATTGCACTTTGTCGATTTTCTTATTTGATGAGTGAACCTATTCCCTTCAATAGCTGAGTGATTCCCGATCTCCCTTTTGTGGCCTAATTTTCTTTTTCATTACTATGTTAGCAAGGCATATTTATGAGGACAATCAAATGCTACAGCCTTCTCCAGTGATTCAAACAAAAGAAGTCATTTATCTTGGCCCCCTTCAACATAAGGAAGGTAGTACACTTGCGTTCTGGCAAAAGCTGGTTTTCTGAGGAGTGTAATTGTACTTTCTTGTCATTTGGATGTATTAAGTATGTGATTCATTGTCCTAATAGGAACGTCACCAAGCTCCCAAGATTATGCAGCCTGCCCAAATCAGTAAGCATGTTTATGTTGAGTGGATTATCCATATCGAATTGCATAAACATAAAAAAAATCTTGTAGATTTATCTTGTTGAATTGCATAAGTATATATATCAAAAAAATCCTTAAGGAAGTTTGCTTGAGTATATTTTTTCTATAATAAAAAGATTCTCACAAGTGTAGATGGAGAAACTTTAAGTACATGCCTGATTTGGATGCTAGTAATGATTAGAAGGTCCAGAATCACCGTGAACTGTATTCTTAGTATTCTACATGTTTGGTTGTGATGTCGATGAAATATTTTTTTTTCCTGAAAAAAGTTCAATTAAAAGTTGATGTTTCTCAGTACATCAGTTGGAGCACCTGGAGGTCATGAGAGAGGTTTGTACAACACCAATGATAAAGTAAACCCATTGGCGAACTCTACAAGCAAACGTGAGTATATCATGAATACTGAATAGAAGTGTTTGCCTGTAAGCTTGTGTAATACTTACCTGTCAAAACAAAATTGAAATGGCTTGTTAAAGTATCTTTAGCAACAGGATTAACATTCTGATTGGAGACACTTCCTTTTTGAATTTCAACTTATTATTGTAGTTGAAAGTACAAGTTCATGGTATTACATCAAGATATCCTTTTGTCCATAGCTGACAAATGTTTATCACCTGTAAATTTAATGGCCCTACTTTAGAAAAAGCACTTCCCAAGAATATTCTCTGGTTTGAACTGTCAGAGCTAAAATAATTATTACCATATATACTAAAATCTCAATTTTGCAGAACTCTCTATCATTGACATACTTGGTGATGATGGACCGAACTATGAGTTGGAAAGTTCAACTCATGAAGGCCATGTTGCATTTTCGATTGAAGGTATATTCGATGGTTGACCATGAAGCAGTTACATTTATGTTTTTTGAAAGACTAACAATTTTACACTAAGGGTGTGATCTAGTGGTCAATGAAGTGGATTGAGAACCATGAAGTTTCGGGTTCAAATCCTAGCAGAGACAAAAAAAAACACTAGGTGATTTCTTTCCATCTGTCTTAGCCTTGGTGGACAGAATTACTAGGTACCTGATGGTGGTGGGAGGTGACAGGTATTTCGTAGAACTCGCGCAGGATGGTCCAGAAACAACAATTATGAAAAAACATTTCCTACAAATGAGTAGAAAAGCTCAATTAACTTCTTTCATTTTCTTTTCTACTTAATGCTCTTTATAGAAATCTTTTCAAATACTCCTTCTGTTTCAATTTGTTTGTTTGGTTTTGACTTGACATAGAGTTGAAGAAAGTAAAGACTTTGTTCTTGTGGTTAAATATGCTATGTGGAAAGTTGGAATTAAAAAGTTGCCTAAAAAAGAAAAGCAACATTCTTTTTTAAATGGACTAAAAAGGAAAGTAAGACAAACAATTTAAAATGGATGGGGTATCATATAACTATTCTTTTAGCATTAGTCTTTGAGAACGTGTGTTGCATGTTTGTCCTGTATCATTATTATAATAGAAAATAGACAAACAATTTATTAGAGTATTTACTTCATATTTTGAACCCCCTTATTGAAAATCCTGGCTCCTCTACTATATATATATGTGACAATATGGCCCCCAAGGCCTAGCTCGAGTGGCAAAAGGTGGAGGATTTGTGGCTTAGGTCGCAGGTTCAAGCCTCACACCATGCAAAGCGAAGCCTGGTATTTAAGTGGGGAAGGGTAGAGGGGCGGGCCCATTATCCACCGAGTTTAGAAGACTGTGATTGGTCCAAAAGGCGGGTCACAAACGGATTTCTCGGTTATCAAAAAAAATAAAAATATATGTGACAATATGATGATTATTTCTTCATTTTCCTTTCTACTTTATGCTCTTTATGGCATCATTTCCAGTTTGCAGGGAAAAGGAGGGAAGAACTGTCTATATTTGTGTGGCTTTCAGATCTTTTAGAATGAACATTTGATCAGATACCTTTTTGCCTTACAAGGTTTAGGTAAAGTTGAAATGTCTACCCCAGTTCATTCACCGCAGCTACCTGGCAGGTATATTTACTTTATTAATCAAGAATAATAGACCATGAATAATAATTTTGCAAATTCCATCTTGACAAGATTTCTATGATAAGTAGTGGTTAGGACTACCCTTGGAAGTCAAGACTATAAATAGGTTTTAAATTTAAATTGACTATGATAGCTGCATGCATCAGTTCTATCGACTGAAAACATCATCTGCACATTTAGGCGACTTGCATTACTTTCCTAGGTTTTGAGGAGATCATCTGGCTGTTAACATGACCATTTAGACGATAAAGTGGATTTTTAACTAGGTCCTCTTCGCCACTGATATAGAGCTTCATAAACAGAGGACGAGACATTAATGTCATGGATATATTTTACAATAATGCTACTTCTAGAAAGAAGGAATTCCAAATTCCAGTAGAAGCTCTTAGCTATTTCCAGATAAGCAAAAAAGTAATACAGGCACTCTATAACCACCAGATTCCATGATACCGTTCACTTGCTCAGCTGACATCAGTTCTTGATAAGCAAGGGTGTTTGGATACCACAATTTTCTCAAAACAGCTTAGCTCAGTACTCTAGCCACTGGAAAGTGATCTGAGACTCTGAGTCCCTCTCTGGGATGTTTAATGTTCTTAATACTATGTATTATATAACCAAGCTGTGGATATCCTTTCGATCAATTCACGCATGGTTCATGCTTATCTTACATTTTGGAATACTAGATCAGTTTTTTGGAGAACTATACTCCTGATTGCTTCTCAGGTTTGGATACACCAACTTCCTAAATGATTAATTTTACATAGGACCTAATCAAATTGGCATGCTTAATATGTTACCTTTATCAAAAAAAAAATTGGCATGCTTAATGGTTTTAGTTCTTCATGTTGCAGTAGGCTGATTTAAGGGGACACTTCTTTTATGCTTTGTCGGTACAATCTCACAAAGTTGCATGGAAATCTTTTTTTGAGAATTAAGTTGCGTGGAAATCTTTGAAAGTGCTCCTTCTAAATGCTGCTTTTTATGTTGTATGATAGCAGACCCTTGGCATATGGTAGGCCCTCACCCCCAAGGGCAAGGAGAAAAGCTCTCTCATCTGACTACCTTAACAAGGGAATAGATGGAATTGACCTGGAATTGGTGAGAGCACTTCCTGATGCTTTTATAATTCTGTTTGGGGTTGCTAGCTTGCTGCATGTTTACTACTAGCGCTTCCTTCGAATGACTTGAACTCCTATCTTTATTAGTGTCTCCTTTCCGTGGGATAGAGGACCATTACCTCTAGAAATCTTTGCGCTTTTACTTCATTTCCTATAATTTGTAACTTACTGTTGTCAATTTCTTTTTTGTTTCACTTCTTGTGTAGGGTGTTTAGCATGGCATAAGTTTTTTCTTGATGAAACCCATTTTTTGTGTTCAATTGTCTAAATTTTTTTCACCAAAAGAAGGAAATTGACTTTTGTGAGCATATGCCCTTTTCGGCTACAATTATATTGTAAAGATATGACCCCTGAGCCTAATTCAACCCCAAAAGCTAGCTCGAGAGGGGAGGATTGCCCAAGTCCATATAAGGAGACCACCAGTCCATTCCCCAACCAATGTGGGTCTTTTACCCACTCTTAACACCCCTCTTCACGCCAGGCCCAACTGGCGTGTGGACCGGGAGCCCATACGAGGATAGACCTGGCTCTGATACCATATAAAGATATTACACATGAGCCTAACTCAACCCCAAAAGCTAGCTCAAGAGGGGAGGATTCCCCAAGTCCATATAAGGAGACCACCAGTCCATTCCCCAACCAATGTGGGACTTTTAACCACTCTAACATATATAAACTTACACCAGATGTCGTTCTTCAATGTAAACCTCATGTCAACCTGTTTTGAAACACCACACCTATGCCCTATCTCCACTTCCTATCACTACCATATGTCACATATATTTTTACCCTATCAAACGGCATAAAATGATTTAGGAAATACTTTTCAAGGTTCTATAAAAAAAATTATTCCATAACACATCCTTCATCTACTATATCTTATGATATCAAATGGGAAAGGCTTTGGCAATAGGTGTTAAAACCAAGTTCCAGGCTTCCGTCAACTAGATGTTTAGTTTCAGCATTCATAGCTTCTTATATGGTCGGCATCTGAATCTGAAATCTACAGATTCTGTGTTTATTGGTTCAGTTGATGTAGAACAGCATTTTATGCTCTTAATCTCGAAAAGTGATGAGATACCTAAGTTCTATTCCATTCAATTGTTTTTCAACATATGGGTGCTTTATATATATATATATATATATACACACACACTCCATATGTGCATACTTTTGTTAATAAGCCCCTCACCGTCTGAAAATGAAAAATGAAAAACAAAAAACAGTTGGTTCTTTGTGGAAGGATTATTGCAATGCAGATGTCCTTCCATTATCGGCTCAGCCCTAATTGGTTATATGGAGGTCGAATTCCTGATATCTTTGTTTCTGGTTATATTGACAAACTACAGGATAGCATGATGGTGGATGTAGAACTACCTTTTCATACAAGTCCTTTCGACAGATCCTCTTGCTCCAGGGGAGTACAAGATTCACCTGGCAGTGCAGAACATAAGTTACTAGATACCAAATGGTTCTCCTCTAATAACAATTTCACTTGTCTGTACACTTTTGAGAATGATGAAATCTTCGGCAAAAACAAGGGAAGTTCACATACAATTTTGAATGGTAGGGTCCTTAATATGTTTTTTCCATATCTTTTCTGGCTTCTACATTGACATCTCCAAGTGGTGTTGGTTTCTTGAGTATCATTTTTATTTGGGTAAATCTCTGTTCATTTTCCTGGAAAAAAAGTATAATTCAACTTTGTAATTCCTTTGGAACCGTTTGTTTTAGAGTTTGCAAAATCAATTTTTAACTTTTAGGAACATGTATTTATTTGAACTACTTTGCATACAAGAAAAAAGTTCCAAATGTCTGCAAACTTAGACAAATGCCACATTAATAACATCACAGCTAGTTAACACATTTAAAGTTCCCATACATATATCTTTATTAAGCTTGAATTTTCGACATTGTTTTTGACAGTTCGCCAATACTAATAACATGTTTCTCCTAAGAGGAATTAACCCCTGTGGTACAGAGCTTAAAATTGGAGAAGTGCTTTTGAAGTTGCATAGAAATTTCAAACCTTTTGGCACTTCCACATCTTCTAAGGTTTTGCTTCATTTTACAAGTGACGTGACTACATCGTGTTTTATGCTTCACATTCAGCAAATTCCAGCTTCCCACTTCCTGAAAGCTTTCATGAAGATTATTGTTCATCTCATTTAGATGCTGTTTCCACTGATTTTTGGAACAACCAAAGTTGTGGGATGCGAGAATTCAACTTTGAGGACTGTTATAGTCGGGATTTTGCCAATTCTTGTAGTGCCAGAAATTATGGGAAGCAAGACACTTATTTTGATGACTCTTATCATCAGAAGCAAAGGTTTCCCATGTAGTACTTCAATCTTTAATTTGATGGTGTTTGTGTTCTATACTAAAGGTGTCTTGTCCTTGCAGTGTCAGGATGAAAGCCAAATCAGAATTCAACATAATAGGTGCTTTACATTTCTGCTAATAAGAGATTCTCTTTTAAAAGATGTACATATTCTTTTACCTGTTTTGCTTCTCATGGTTCTATCAAAAGTCATTTAGTTTCTCCAAGTTCAAAAAATATGAACTGTTCAATATGGGGAGCTAAAATGGAGTGCTATTGAATAGTTTTTCCTGGTATTATTGAGATCATAGTTTGGGCCAATAAGTTGCATTTTCTGTGGTTTTGATGTGTTATTCTCTCTTTAACAGATGCACCTACTCCCTATTCCAAGCACTTCAAACCAGAGAATTTCAGTGTCTCGGATGGAGAATGGTAGGCACATTTTGCAGTAGATGTGAGGGGGATTCTTTTGTTGGTTTAAACTCTTCTATTTCTTATTGGCAGGTGTTCCATGGGATGTACAAGTCCTCATTTAATGGATTATATAGACCATGTTGATAGGACATGGTTTGCAAATGAAGATGCAAGAGATAATTTGAGTTTATTGAGGTTGCTATTTGAAGCTCTTTCTGTTTACTGGTCTCTCTACTGGGCCTTTTCATTTTCTAATGAACTAATCCAGTTTATTCTTGGGGATATGTTGACTTCTCTTCAGCGAAGAATCATCCACTGCAGGTCAATGTCATTTGTACTCACTGACTTGTTGACTTGAGCAATATAATCATTTTTCTTTTTCTCCATCCAGTGGTGGGTGACTTAGACACACAACAAAAGGTGAACTCAAATAATAAAAGGAGAAGCCAGGAGGTATCTGATGGGAGGAAAGAGACAAAATTCTGTGAGAAGTTATTTGCTAATGAAAGAAACTGCAAGAGGAATGATATTCAGCAAGGAAAGCCAACAAAGTTACCATGGCTACCGAACCAATCAAGAGCAAAGCCAGAAAATTACAATTCTGCATTTTATGAGAAGAGGTCAGACATGAACAATGATGGACTGAGGGAGGCAAGATGTGGTCCAGGAGAGTCAAATTCTAGATTCAGATCTTTCTACCAAACTTCAGCGTCCAAAAGATATGTTTCCACTTGTTCCGACTTCTTGGTTGGAGATGTCCTTACTGATCAGGAGCCTAAGTTACAAGTTGACTCCCTACACAACCTCGAAGGGTCTATCGAATATCCTGGTGAATATGCACCCTCATGTTTTATGATGGAACCAATAACTTTTGAACTAGATAGCCCCGCATGCACCTTCAGGAACTTGTTTCAGGATGCCAAGAAGGGATGTGGTGCTGAGAATTCATTACATACTCTCGGTTCCCATGGCACAGTAACAGGAAACATTGTAAGAGATGTTGGAAGCGATGGAGATAAAGGTGTTGATATCCTACCATTTGATAGCAGCCAATTTGACCCCAATACTGAAGTTTCTGGTAGGTGCAAGAGTTTCTCATCAGGAAAGGAAAAGTCTATGGATGGATCAAGTTCTGTCAATGAGTGTAGTAACTGTGATGAACCAAAAGAAAAAATTCCAGAAGTGAAGGACAGGACAGGATCGTTTAACTATTCTGAATGTGCAGAAGAAGCATCTTCCTCTGTAGAGATGTCCACTGTATCAAAGGGGGATCAGGACAGTTTAGATAAAAATCAGGATACCCAATCTTCACTTAGATACCAAGCAGGAGATGAAGGTCGAAGGTTTTCCTCCTTTGTGATCCTAATTTTTAAATTAGTCCTTCGTTTATAATTATAAGAAGTGTTTTTGTGCTTTGCTAGTTACAAAAGATGACAGCAGGTCTTCATCAAAAGAAGGAATGATAACTACACGACAAAGTCACAACATTCACCAAAATGGGCAAGTGATGATGCTTGAGGCCGTGTCCTTCAATTTTTACATGTGCAGTTTTTGAAGGAAGCACAGGATTAAAGAACTTGGACAATGGTATGATACTCTATTCAAGTTTTAATAGATAAATGCAAACATGAACATTCTAATTCTATAGTTTGGCTTTTTTAGCATTTGACCTTCATGTGTTTTTCGCTATGGTTTGGACACATGCAAGTTATCTTGTGTTCTAGTAATGCATGACTTCCATGACTATTGAACTTGTAGAACCAGATTTATGTTCAGTTTTGATGCATGTGCAATATATTTTTTTAGGGGAGAGACTAGAGAGACCATGCTTTTAACAGAAAACATTAGAAATTAAGACGGAGTGATGGGATTGACTAAAAAATAGCTAATAAAATAGATAAAAGAAGGATAATGTTGTCAATGATCACTTTCCCTTGAATCGTTATTCAATAATCAATAGTGCCATAGTCAATTTCTGCTCCTATGTTTTCTCTAGTTTTTCGCTTATATTTCTGTCACTGTGCTCTGTTGTTTTACCTCCCGGTGCATAGCCATCCACTGCATGGTTTGGTTACTTTGGTCATATGACATCTCAATTTCTTAACATCTGATTGTTTGATAAGCTCTAGCATAAATTCTTTAGCACCTTCTTCCAAGCACCTATATTGGTAAACAAAATCAGAAGATAAAACATGGTATAATATGTCTGGTTATATTACAAAAGGTTGCTGCTTGAGTAATTACTTCTTGATTCAGGTAAGACGTTCTCGGATGATACGATAACCACAGGTATCTCTTTCAAATTAGAGGATCCCTGCCATTTAGAAATGGTTCAAATGGAGGCAAAGAAACTTTGGGCGCAGGGGGGGAGGAGAGAGCATCCCTAAGGCCCACTTAATACCTTCACCCTTTTGAGTAGATCGTATCCTGTCATCCTTGATATGCAGTAGTCAGTAATGATCAAGTTTGTGTTCGTTTCCTGCAATATCGAATCAAAGCTCAGTGTATAAATGCACAAAGTTCGAAAAGATGACATGTCATATAACAAATTGTGCTGATCACAGGCATTGAATGATGGACTGGTGATAAAAAATCATATGCATTGAACTGACCCACTGATGACACTATTTTTTCCAACCATAAATATATAATGCCTAATATAACCTGCTATTTTCTTTGTTCCATGGAGGCAAACAAGTTACTAATCTTTCTCCCTAACATTAGTGACTAGAGCATAAATAATTATGAGCGAATGTTGGACTGTGAAGGAGGTATGGAACCTCATATTGTATGTTTCTTCATGGTGTTTGGCTGTAGTAACTTCAGAAAATCAAGGGTACATGGATGAAGAGAATAGTTATCAAAATACTGCTCTCTCCACCGAGCCCTACAATTCCAATGTCTTCTGCCCGTTCTCTGCTGTAGTCACGGCAGCAAGGACCAAAAGAACAGCTCAAATTCACAATTTCCTCGTAACTTCAGAGATTTGGTAGTAATTTTGTGAAGTAGAACACATTATTTGTAGGGTCAAAAGAAATTAGTCCCAAATTCATTGCTTAAGCAAACAAGTTCATCACATGTTCAATGCTTGCATAAACCATAGCCATGTTCTCTATTGAGTCTATCGACTAATTACGTTGGGTACAATTTGCTATAGACATTCTAATTCTTCAATTTCTTTGGAGTAGTTAGGATTCTTAAAGCTTTGTTAATGCATCTTCAAGCGGTAATTTCTTGTCTACAACTACAGGAATGGGGAGGGCATGGAAGGTCTGACAAGCTTTGCAGGCAGCAAATGAAGCGTAAATGCCAATTAGTGAACTGAGGGCAAGCAAGGCAACTGGGACAACATTAAAAGTTTCATGTGTACTTGGTATAAACTATAGCTGACTAAACTTAATGCCAAATGCCTGCTATTAATGTACGCTAAGAGGCATACAAAGCTACATGAATTCAAGAAACGTTCATAGAAATGTCTCTTTTATCTCCTTTAATTTTTCTTCTCGTGGTGGTCCAGCTAAATGGTGTCTATTTGCTTTCATTGTCTTATTATATAGAGAGAGATGAAAGCTCAAAAAAATCCTGCCTTAAAAGGTTCTGATATACTCCTCAACTGTGGGGCGATTTAGAGTTGATATATTCTTTGTTATAAAAGTGATTCACATTTACATACCTCTATAGTTACACAAATGATTCAGATATACCCTTTTAGTCTAATGGGTTAGATTTTTTATTTTTTATAAATAATTTTTTGAATTTATTATTTCGATGGTTAAATTTATTCACTTAATTTCTTATAAAATTTATCATACACTCCAAATTTTTTATAGATACAAAAAATAAATTACAATATAGTTGAAAAAAGTTTAGATTTAATTTTTTTTCTTTTTTCTTTTTTAATACCGCCACCTCTTTCACCTGGTCAGTTCCCGCGTGAGGTAATAGTTCCTCCATAGTACTCTATTTAGATTCATGTCTTTCAGTTATTTCCATGTCTTAGGGTGTGTTTGGTATGAAGGAAAATGTTTTCCTAGAAAATGTTTTCTTGGAAAACAAGTTGATTTTTGACTTATTTTTTCATGTTTGGTTGGTGAGTAGAAAATATTTTTCGGAAAAGATTTTGTGTTTGATTTATGAATGAAAATAATTTTTGAAATTGAAAATATTTTTTAAAAACAAACTTAATTTTTTT